TAAAGTTTACATGGTTACCCATTGCACTGTCTCAGGTGATAATGTTCCTCCGGATTCTCCACTGCATTTTCACCCTCCTTTCTTTGAGTAGAGTATGGGAGTCTTTATCACTTTCCAGTTCCAAGCCACTAGAGTGGTTGACCATGGATGCACCCTGCTGAATGAGTTTCACACAATAACCATTCAGTTACAGAGTAGGGCGGTGGTATTTTGAAGGTATAGATGAAGTGATATCTTCCTGCTTGCGATAACCAATGACAATAGAGTGAGATATCAGAATGCAGTTCACACCCCCCTTTTGGGAGCCCTCATCCTACCCTCACGTGGATGTTCGTACCCGTGGGCGGGTTTTGGATTTAGAGTGAACCAATCAATATAATTCCTTGCACATTTCAGGTTGTCTGTCTTCCTCCCTCGATTTCCTCCATCTGTGTTGTAGATCAATAACAGTGGTACGTGAAATTGTTCCAGTTCTGTTCTTGGCTATCCCTCAACCTCTCTTCTTACAGGGATGTTATTGCCATTTGGATGGACCCGGCCTGTTTCACAGTTGGGGGAGTTGATTATATGTGATAGTCTTCCTTTCAATAGTGGATGTCAAGTTCCTGAGTCGATAGCTCAGAGTTAATCCTCATGTCATACCCAGAAATCGGAGAGCTTCTCAATCCCCTGGTTTATGGTTTTGAGGTGAAGAGGGTATGATCCTCATCCTACCCTCGCATGGATGCTGGTACCCTGCAGGCAGGTTTGGATGTAGTTGACTCACCAAGTATGATCCGCCGTGACCTAGCCACTCTACACCTGGGAGTGCATCCTTTGTTTACCCACCTTTCTCATTGTGGGATTGAGTTACAGTATATTTCTATGTTTAGGATCACTTTCCTGCCACATTCTCTCCCACTCGGATGTGCTCCTCTCATTTTCCACCCTTATATCTTACACATTCCACAGTTGGGCAAAGAGTATACCTGGCATAGAAGTGGTGCGGTTCCCCTCTTCTGATCTCTCATTTCCAGGGGGTATCCTTCAGATGCTTTTGGGGGGTACTTCTGTCATTCACTTGCAATGGTCCCTCCTCCTTATCAATATAGGATTCCAGCTACTCTTGTGAGAGGAGGTAAGTAACATATCGGAAATTATAATTCTCCTACACTAAAAATTTATTTCCGAGAGGTACTTACCTCATCTCACTTCCCACCCTTCCTCCCCACATTTCTCCAGTGCTGACATCTTCTGCCAGACTTCGAAGTGATAGTTCAGTAGAGACGTATAGAGGGAGTTGCATGTGTCAAGTGAGCATATCATGCTCCTATTGGTGAGGAGGTGACGCATGATAATTTGCATAAGAGACATGTTGGAATCTTGAAATTTCAATAGGAAGGGGTGGAAGGCTTGTGGCATGCATAAAAAAGTTTGCATATAGAGGGCAGCATTGAAGGAGAATAGCCAATCTTGTGAGAGGAGGTAAGTACCTATCGGAAATACATTTTTAGTATAGGAAAATTATAACATTAAGATTCTGACCATTTTTCACTCATTGGTGTACTCTAGTACGCCATCATCTATGATAACCAAGTAAGTTGGAAAGTAGGTCATACACTTCTCAGTTGAAAACAATTACCAAATATATGCTGTACTAAATCAAGCTATTTAATGTGTAAATGTCTCTTCAGTTTGCTAATCTTTCCCTTGATCAGGCTTCTGCAATACTTTATAAAATGTATTCTTAAGGATAGAATCTTAAAGTGAAATATTGCAATTGATTAGCTGATATAAAAAAGACAAGAAAACATTCTTTCTACAATTGCATATCAATGGATTAAGTTTTTATTTTTATTGCTTGGAAATTAAAAGCAGGAATTATTTACACTGTCTAAAATAAAATAAACATATTCATTGAGCACACCCACAGACATACTGCAAAACCTACTAATGCTGGTGCTCTACTGATGTTAGATGGGTTTGTTAGGAATATTTAATTCTGTTTACATTTGGAAATGATTATGGTTAAATATTTTAGAAATACCTATACTTTTTGTTTGAAACTAAAGCTTTTTATATTATACTGATGCCAGTTAGTCTTGTTAGGATTATGTAATTATATTTATATTTAAACCTAAAGCTTTTGGTTTTCAATGTAAATTTTTTCCACATATATAATTCATTACTGTTTCAAAATGTTTCTTTGATAAATGTGATTATAAAGATGAAAATTTGTTGCCTGCAAATTTTTTGGCTGATTGTTAAAAACAAAACTACTTGTAACAGTAAATGTTAATTAACTCTGAAAGAAAAACATTTCTCTGTGAATTGGCCATCAAAGCTTGATAGCTTGACATTATACATCAGATGTACAGTGTAGCATATTTGCACCTA